CCACCAGACGACTCTCGAGCGTCAACCAGCCACCACGAGACCACCGAACATACCGCACCAGATCATGGTCGCCGACGTTGGAATGACAACCCTTCGTGGGACAGTTCAACATATACCCGTCGAGACCGCCGTTCATCCTATCGTGAAGGCCACTCTCGAGATCAACATCGCGAAGGCCAAGCTCGCTCCCGCACCTCGGCATACAACCACTCCAGATCTCGCTGGTAAGCACTTCATCCCTGAGGAGCACCTGGCACACTGTTGACTATTCCATGACCGCGATCCAGTGAGCCCCGTGGCCTTGACCGATTCTTTTGGAGTAACAATGCTTCTCCCGACATTCGGTATTTACGCCACTTCTTCCCTCAAAAGATATGTGAATCGCTGCCTGCGCACCGTATTTGAATTGTGAGTTGCTTTCGTTTTTTCACCTCATGTCTCACATACCTCGGCAGAGTTTATCATGTTTCACACATCTCAGATCGTACGACATCTTCGTATCACCTTTTCACCCTACCGCAGATTTCAGTTGGCTGATCGCGCTCATTTTGACTTATCATCTCGTGGCTCCTGTCTACATCATGGCGTCCCAGGATCTGATCTCCCAGTTTAGCCCTGACCTGAATGCCATTCCTCCTTCCCAGCCTGATCGCTCACGCACACCTCCTCGACCTCAACATGGCTGGCAGCAAACAGTACCTATGTTTCGTGGCCCGATGCACTTCGCAATGACGACCCCTCGACCGTTTTGGAATCCTGCTGGTATACCGCCTCCACCACCGACATCTACATCGTTCTCAACACGCCCATCATGGACTCCGCCCACATCACCTTTCCCACCTACACCGCCTACGTTCTCCCAACAACCTCCCAACAACGCCAATTTTGCACCTCAACGACACCCTTTCACACCGAGATCGCCGAGACCTATGTCATCTCCGGGCGGAAGCTCTGCTATCAATGAGGGATACACTTGTCGGCCAATTGAAATCCCACCGGTTGACCAATGGAAACCTGACGTCGACTTCCACGACTCCAACAAGATCAATGGGTTGGATTTCCCCTCCAGAATCCGCCAAAGCCGATTTTTCCAGTTACAAAGACATTGAAGGTATGGATCCTTTGCAAGTCCCACTCTGGAAGTTCTTGTACCAGGGCTTACATAACACCTGGCTCCGCCGTGTTGCATACGGACGAGAAAGCTTCGTCCTTCCCTTTGACAACATAGGCACTACAGTATTTGTTGCCGAATTGGTATCGCAACTACGCACCCGCAATGTGGATTTGGACAAACTGGCTACCTTTCGCTCTCCCTTCACAGAATCCATTTTGTGAAGGCAGCTCCCTTCACAGAATCCATTTTGTGAAGGCAGCTCCCTTCACAGAATCCATTTTGTGAAGGCAGCTCCCTTCACAGAATCCATTTTGTGAAGGCAGCTCCCTTCACAGAACCCATTTTGTGAAGGCAGCCCCCTTCACAGAATCCATTTTGTGAAGGCAGCTCCCTTCACAGAATCCATTTTGTGAAGGCAGCCCTCTTCACAGCATCCATTTTGTGAAGGCAGCCCCCTTCACAGAATCAATTTTGTGAAGGCAGCCCCCTTCACAGAATCCATTTTGTGAAGGCAGCTCTCTTCACAGAATCCATTTTGTGGAGGCAGCCCCCTTCACAGAATCCATTTTGTGAAGGCAGCCCCCTTCACAGCCCCATTCACAGAATCCATTTTGTGAAGGCAGCTGCCTTCACAAAATGTATTTTGTGAAGGGAGGTCCCTTCACAAACTGTTTGCTGAGTTCTAAGCGGTGCTTGCATCTGTACCACAATGCATGTCAGCTGCTTTGCAAAGTGTGTACCTGCAGCCATTTTTGCAAGCTCAAGCTGTTAAATAAGCTTTTTAAAAAACAATTTCTAAGGAGGGGCCTGAAACAAGGCCATGAAGAAGCCAGCTGCAGCAGAAGAAACAAGTGAATAGGCTGCAGCTGAAGCAGAGGTAGCATTTCCATGGGATTCTGAAGAGAGGAAAGCCTATCCAGGCAATGAGGAAAGAAGAGAAAACTGGAGAAAACATTATGTTTCCCTCCAGAAATATTATGCTGCCAGGAGTGGCTTGGAAGAAGCTTGTTCCAGCTGGTGCCCAAATTTCATTGGGCATACCATCTAGCTCAGATGTGCAAATACCAGAATCCCAAGACTTTCTGGACATACAGGCAAGAATCTTGGGTAGGCAGCATGGCAACAGTGGCTCATTCTTGCAGCCATGGAACCAAAAACACAAAGCTGTCAGAGGGCTTTTGTGAAAAGTATTTGCTAGGCCATCAGCTCAGGCTCAACCAAATAGATGGCTTGAGATAAAGCCAATGCCATGACCTTGGGCCAGCCAGGTGCTTGAAACAAAGCCAAGCAAGATATGTGGCTTGAAAAAAGGCCATGCACATGGCCAAAGGCAAGCTGCAGGCCTGCAAGAAGGCCATGCTTTGATACATATATCACATCTCCTCTGTGTCACCAGTGCTTGCATTATGAGCAAAAAGATGTGCGCCTTCCTGCAGCAACAACTATATGATTATTAAATTTCTATATGGTAAAAATTTCAATAATGTACATGGCAAAAATTTCAATAATGTATATGGCAAAAATTTCAATAATTATTGAAAAAATCAATAATTATTGAAAAGAAAATCGATAATTATTGATTTTTTTTCAATCTCCAATTTCAATAATTATTGAAAATTTTCAATATCCATTTCAATAAGGATTGAAACCGATATTGAAACAAAATATTGAAAAAAAATGCATTTCAATCCGGATTGATTTTTTTTTTCCAATCTTATTGAGATTTTCAATAAGATTGAAAAAATTCAATCCCTGGACCCTCAGGGCACAAGGTCCCAGAACTGCTGCATGGCTTGCTGGACATCGAGGCCTTCCTGGTGATGTGGACCCTCCTCCATACAGACCCGTCCTGATTTTAGTGGATTACTCTCCTTTGCAAGGATTGACACACCGCAGTGAACCTGACCGTGATCTTTACATGGCTCTTGCCAATTCAAATTTCAAGAACGTCAGTGCAGGAGAACTTGAAGCTCTTTTCACCTGGGCACGTCAGCTGGAACCAATCGAAGCAGGCATTCTTCCCATTCGAGACCTACGTACTGCCATCACAACAAGATTACGGACCCAATGGGACATCCATTTGGAACCTTCGAATTTGGAATTTCGCTACTGCGATCTGGAAGGTGATGCTTTCCAAGTTCCCAACGATTGGACCGTCATGCAGCTTTTGGAAGAATACCGACCTGATTGGCGTCTCCGGCAGTACAACTATATCGAATCCACCTTGCTCGTACCTGGTACCTCACAGCCTTTCGTGCTACGTCTGAGATGCCACAAGGTTAGCCCTGGAGTCATCCTACCCTGATTTGCTTCGCGGATGAACAGAAAAATGAACGATCGGTTCTTCTCTTTTGATTTACGAGATTTTATCACCACGGTAGACTTTCTGGGACTTCGCCTTTCGATTTATGGTCTGCCAATTTATTCTTCGTGTACTTCGTTACCCGTTTGTTACTATTATTCTTTTGCTTGGCATGCATGTGTGACCTCAGCTTTTGGGTTTTTTGCATTGAGCTTATTCTTGCGACCGTTTCACCCATGGAGCATAAACGTGACGCAACTGTGGCTGGCTTGGGGCTCTCCAAATGTCGTGATCCTGAACATTACTTCTACGGTCTTTCTGGCAATTGGGAGTGGTCCTTATACGCACTGCGGATTATTGGCGCCATCACTTTGAGATTCCTCTAGTACATGGGCACCATCCTTTTCACAATGTTCCCATTGAGACGACTTCTCCTGCAGAGGCACCCCGCCTAACTACCAAAATCCAGGAGTTAGCCAAACAACTTTCAGACACTTTGACGGCAGCTATGGCATCTGGAGAAATCAACGACACATGGAGAACTGTTGAAGGCATGAGCTTCCGCGACGCGATCCAAATACTTCAACTCGAAGCGAACTTCCCTTCTGAGTGAAATGACCGCAGCTTTGTACACTAGCATCGTGTAGGTTCATTTGCTTTGATTGGTTCTGCCGACCTCGACCGCGACGATCTTCCAAAATCAAACCCCGCTACATGCGGGGTGTGTGTGTGTAACATCTGAACAGATGTAAAACTTCTTCTTTTCTAATACTCTTACGTTTGCACGGGGCCAGGAACCCATGACTGTCTGTCCTGGCCAACGAAGACCAGACAGCATGGGGGTGAAAACGTACCTGCGATTTTTTGAACTGTTGAACAAGCTGTCGTATTCATTTTTTGCAATCATTGCGTGTGAATGGCGAGGGGCTAAGCCAAGTACCCCAACACCATGATTTTATTTCTCCACGGTTGCCACAATCTGCATTTTCGCCGAAACCACATCACGATTTTGCTGCATCAGAACCTTCCTCAGAGCAAGGACGTAGAAAGCACTTTTGTAACATTTTGTTTACATGATCGCCGACAACATCGTCGCCGACAATTATTTATTGGCTAATCTTCGCCGAGACATCGCCGATGATTATATTTCTGGTTTATCTATTCTTTTTGGTGTCGATTCTGAACCCGATGACCATTCTGAAGTACTTCTATTATTCGTAGGATGCATCGTTAATTTCATTGTTTTCGTATCTAATCTGCATGTTTCAGGATTCAGTTCCTGCCGGATCATATAATGATCCATTCTTGTCTAGTGTGTGCATGTGCTGAAAGCTAGAGATGCTTGAGGCTTCAGATGCAGGCTGGCCTTTTTCCAAAGTCAAGTTTGTGAAGGATTCTGCCTTCACAAAGTCCAGTTTGTGAAGAATTATGCCTTCACAAAGTCCAGTTTGTGAAGGATTCTGGCTTCACAAAGTCAAGTTTGTGAAGGATTCTGCCTTCACAAAGTCAAGTTTGTGAAGAATTCTGCCTTCACAAAGTCCAGTTTGTGAAGGATTCTGCCTTCACAAAGTCAAGTTTGTTAAGGATTCTGCCTTCACAAAGTCAAGTTTGTGAAAGATTCTGCCTTTTTGTGCGGTACTACTGGAAGCATCTGTGCTACCTTGCATGGTAGCGGACCCCTCGGTTCTGCAACCAGGGCTCAAGCTGGTCGCGCGGTTGCAAGGAGCGGCCTGCCAGAGGAGTGCTCTGCGTGCGACGAACGCACAAAGGCAAACAGGCCAGCTGCGGCCAAGTTTGCCCAACAGCGTTTGGGCCAGAGGAAACAGAGGTTCAAGCCAGTGAAGTCGCACCTGACAGCCTTTATCAGGCGGTTCCACGACCTAAGAAAGAAGAACGAAACAAGGCCTTTCCCAAAGGTCAAGCCAGAGGAAGTAGACGCACAAGAGGACGAAGAAGAAGAAGCCGACCCAGGTAGCGATGTCGACTTCAGCGGAGACGACCCCAGTTCCGGGGGGGGACCTGCAAGTCAGCCTCAGCAACAGCAGTTGTTGCGTGAGTTGGCTCAAGCAAGAGCGGCAATTCAGACCTTGGCTGGGCAGGTTGAAGCTCAGCAAACGCAACTCAACCAAATGAGTCAGGCCAGAAGAGATTCAAGACTGTCGGACTTGAGCGGGATGATCCCCGCAAATGAGTGGCTGAGGGTGTCAAACCAGGGTGCATCCTCATCCTTCAACCCCATCGTGGACACCCGAACTTTGGGGAAACCAGAGATCTTCAAGAGCGACCCATCCGAGTACTGTGATTGGAGCTTTGTCCTGAAGAGCTACTTGGCGTGCATCTCGCCTGACTACATAGATCTTTTGGACAGGATCGCTGGTGATAGGAAGCTGTCAACTCAGCTGTGCTACATCCTGGTGATGTTGGTGAAAGGCAGGGCCCTGGACGTAGTTCAGAACACAGGTCCTGGTGAAGGTGCTGAGTCCATGAGACGGGAAGAAATGTTTCACCTCCGTGTAGCCAGTCGGTTCGTGGGCACACTCAGCCTAAACCTCAGCACCAGATTTTCTGGTGACGATCCCGAAGCAGAATTGGAAGCCTTCGAGAAAACCATCCGGAGATATGAAGAAGAAAGCAGCAAAAGCATTGATGACGAGATGCTGATGGGAATCATCATCAACTCATCAACGGCATCCAGGACAACAACATTCGAGACCACGTCATCAGGAATGCCGTGCCGCGGAAAAGCAAAAAGGTCGATGATGAGCCAGAACCCTTATCAGCAGCCGTGGATGGCACTTTGCCAGATCTGATAGCTGCACTCAGCGGTTCCTGCAAACACGTTTTGGTTGACACTGGAGCCGGGTCCCCTTTGTTTGAAAAGAATTTTGACCCAAACGCCACTACCAAAACCAAGGGCTCAAGTAGTGGCATGGTCACTGTAACAGGGGAAACTGTGGACACCGGTTTCAAGAAGAAAAGTGTGATTGCAGTGAACAATGGTACGAAGTTTTCGGTTGAATACTTTGAATCAGACAAGATCAATTTCAGCGTTTTGTCAGCTGGTCAAGCTGCGCGGTGTGGAGTTTGGACAGTCATTGTCCTGAGTTTCACGCACTTGTTCAAGACAACAACGCAAGGGATTTGAACAACATCCTGGATAGGACCCCGTCAATTCCATTCAAGAAAAACCGAGGCGTGTTTTGGTTACCCATCAAACCCCTAAAGCGCACCAACACGAATGCGGGTAGCACCGCTGGTCATGATGTGGGAAGCTCCACTCATGATGTTCGCGGCGCTGTGAGGCCAGCAGCCAAAACAGTGGCTGCTGAAGCCTACGCTGAGGAAGGCGCGCCATCAGGTGAGGGTGGCGTAGAAGTGGTAGTTGAGGACCCCAACCACAGGAAGTAGTTGAAGGGCCTCTCCCACCAGTAGGTGAACCCCCTGAAGAAGTTTCAGAAGATACAAGAAAACCCAAGCAAAGAAAATCCCATATCACGTTTCAAAGGCAGAGTTCCACACTCACATGCTGACACACCTTCCGGCACGTACGTGGTGTGACTTTTGCATGAAAGGCAAGGTCAGAGAGGATGGTCACTTCAAACGTCCTGAAGGAGTAAACCCATCCGAAGTCCCATGAGTCAGCATGGATTATTGCTTTTTGGGTAGGTATATCAGCAACCCCCCTGGGGAAGCGACAGAGACAGTGGCTGAATGGAAACAGGCTCAAGATGATGAAGAAGGAGCGCTGCCAGTACTTGTCATCACAGATGAAAAGTCAGGCTGCATCTTTGCAGGTGTGGTCAACAAAGGTGTTGACAAGTACGCCGTACATCTGGTCACTGAGGGGCGGAGGAGCACAGGACGCCAGAAAATGATTTTGATGACGGACGCTGAGCCTTCGATCAGGGCATTGGCCGAAGCTGCAGGCAAAGAATGGGGCAAGGAGTGCCAGATCCAAGTGGCTCCTCGAGAGTCACATGCTTCGAATGGTGCAGCGCGGAAAGGGCTATCCTTGAGTTGGCGAGGAACTGGAAACCCTCGCCCTCCTAGTGGAGTTCAAACCTGGGAGGCTTGCCTGAATGGTAGACAGGTTGCCGACAGGTTGTCGCCTTCACAGACAGTGGGGCCGTTCGTGGGGCCTTCCTGAAAAGTTTCTCTGGAAACGGCAGCCGCAGCGAAGTGCCCCCGCCGACCCAATGTCCAGGTCGTGGAAAGTCTCCGGGGGCTTCAGCGTACCAGATGCGAGGTGCATCACCTTTGGCAATCACGTCCAGTCTTCAAGGGGTGGCATCGCGAACGTGACTTAAAACCGCAGCGTCCAAAAAAGAGCTGCTGCAGTTTGATGCGTATCAGTAATGAAAGGCAAGTCCGGTAATGAGGTAAAGGAAGATGTCTTGTGGACATGTGTGCACATTGTGTTCAAGAAAAATAAGACACGACTCATGGAACATGATAGGGTATTATTTCGGAGAAACCAACAGAGTGCATCTTGGTGAACGGTGCAACGCATGTCTTGACGATTTGCATCATTTGAGAAAATTTTCTTCTGAACTTTGAGGTGAAGGAACGATATTGAAGATTAGCATGGCAAGTGAACTTTGTGGAATGGAACAGGCGCGTGATCATGGTGACTTTGTCGGTGATATTTTTATTTCGTAGCTGGCGTCAAGTGACTCAGCAAAACACATGTCACTGAGGACTTTCAGGGTTTTGTTTGCACAACCATGTTGAGGATCAGATCCCAGGTTGTGACATGTGTTAAACAAAGTCATCAATTTTCTTTTTGTGTCAATTTTTCATCCCTACCGGTTTTCACCCCCACCCTCATCAAACACACATGCCTCCAATCTAAGGGCAAATTAGAGCAAGTGCTCTCCATTTCAACCCTTCTCAGTGATTGTAACTTGATTCTATGTTCAACTCCGCTTTTCTCAGTTGATTCCGGTTGTAATTTTGCACTTTGCGTATCAATTCGTGCCATGTCAGACCTGTCAGACCACGATGTCATCCAAGATGAAGTCAGCTTGCAGGAGTTGCTGACACCTCTGATTCCCACAGGTACCCACATTGCCCGCATCAATGATATGTGTTGGATGTTAAAATCCATGGCTGAGTCATTAGAGCAGGATCATCGTCGGGCAAGTGACCAGTTACGTGTAGCAGCTTGCAGTCTTCAGAGTACAATCGAATATTTTGAAGCTACCCGATGGCATCAGTTGCTGCAAATCCGCATTAGCCTTCAAAATTCTGTCCGCCGATACGGAAGATTCCTTGCTCTTGACATCTACGGACATTGCGGCGGTTGACATGACAGCGCATTTATTTGTCAAACTTCCGACTGGGTCGCGACAATCACTGTCGTGTAGCCTACCCCCAGCCGTTTGGCATCGCGAACGTGACTTAAAACCACAGCGTCCAAAAAAGAGCTGCTGCAGTTTGATGCGTATCAGTAATGAAAGGCAAGTCAGGTAATGAGGTAAAGGAAGATGTCTTGTGGACATGTGTGCACATTGTGTTCAAGAAAATCAGGTGGTTGTAAGAAGATCTTGTCAAGATCCAATTGCAAGTGAAATCCTCCAAGAGGGCCTTGCATGATCTTGTACAGGTCCTTGTGAGAACTCTCAGATCTGCAAAAGAGCCTTGTGCCAAGATCGTGTAGAGGTCCCTGTAAGAAGATCTTGCAGAGATCCTTATGAAATCCCCCAACAGGTCCTTGTGAGAAGATCTTGTGGAGATCCGGGCGAATTCCTTTAAGAGGCGCTTGCATGATCTTGTACAGATCCTTGTAAGAAGATCTTGTGGAGACCCAAGTGAAATCCTGGTCAGTAGGACATAATGTTGCTCCTTGTGACAGAAGAAATTCCTGCTGCCTCAGTTACGAAAATATCAAGTTTGATCTACGGCATCCGTATAGGTACTGTTGCTTGTATCTCCTACATTGATATCTTATCCACCACACTGTTTGGGGTCTCTTGCTGGTGTAATCTCTTTTTGTAGGGGCTTGGGCATGTTTGGACATGTCCAACGGGAAAACAAACAACATTACACACGTTCAACATGCATCATTCCTGTCGCCGTCACATCACCGTCACATCATCGTCTCCTTGCCCAGGACGTCCAGGAAGTTCATAAACACACCCGTGATCCTCTGAATTTGGAGTCGGTGATGGTTTTGCAGATGTCGGAGCCAGAAAAATCAGGCGTGCGGAAGGTGGCCAGGCTTCTGACGCACTGCAGCCCGAAGAAGTACTTGAATTTCAAGGTGAAGATGTTTGATACGAAAGATTTGGATTATGTGGGAGGAGAGCTTGGAAGTGCACCACGCAACCAGAACCACTTGAGCCTTTTGTCGACCAAACTCAGCTCCATGGTGATGCAGACGGATACCGAGTTCCAGGCAAAGCTTGGGATGCAAAAAACGTTCGACCTGAAACTCAACCAGCTGGTGTTGCCGGATCTCACATGGAACTTTCCAAATTGTTTTAAGATTCTAAGATGTTTTATGGTGTAGGAGAATGGCTTCGGAGTTGCACTGATGGAAACAAGTGGAAACACCTCAATTTCCAAGAGGCCAACAGGATTATACTGCCGGATTTGCTTAGTGGCTTAGTGATCCGGGATATTCGAGGGTGGCAGCGGCAGCGAGATTTGTAGTGCTAGAGTCAGGAGTCAGCAGGATGATGGTTTGGAAAATTTTAGCAAAAAGGCAAGAAATACTTTCCTATGACGCAAAAAGGATCAACAAATTTGAGCTATAATTCAGAAATCTGTAAATAGGAACACAGAAGAAAAAAGAAGTGAACAGTAATTAACAGTTGCAAGTCGAGGACTAGAACGGAGTTTTTTGGTATCCTGACCATCACTGACATGTTCTTCCACTGGTTGGTATCTTAGTATCAGTATTGCTTAGATTTCCATGACGTATTGGCAACATGACAGCAGGTTGCTTTAAGTCAGGAGAATGTCCTTGACAACTGACAGGTTGGCAGCTGGGCTTCATTGGGTGGCAGTGAGGCTGCAGCAGACTTCTTGAAGTTGAAGCAAGAGGCTGGAATGGCTTTGCTCGGCACCGAGACGACCCAGACCTGCACGGAAGCCAAAGAGCAAGAAGCGGACACCTGGAACGCCATTGGCATGGGATTGAATACGTCTAAGTGTGGAAAATTTGTAGAGGCCCTTCAAATTCCACAATCTGCACCTGTCAAATTGTCAAAGGGAACTCTTCTCAGACCCCTAACCCTCCAACGTAATGTCTGATGTGTCAAGTCTATATCTTTAAGTCATTGTTGGATTCTCTGACAGGCCAGCCGCACAGGGAAAATCAGCGAATGAGAACCCGATAATCACATCTTGTTGTGATCTCCAGTGACCCACTGGATTCAAGTCGTCCAAGGAGAAGATTTGTGCCAAACACCTCCCAAAAGATGACGACCACGCAGAAGTTTTCATCGACTGCGTCTACGATGTCTGCCATGGAGGTGGAGAAGAAGATGCCCTGAGTGCCGCTGCATTGATCTCTGCCTAGCTCTGACCTCATGTCAGATGGGCCGTTTCAAACTCTGTTTTGAATTCCGTCTTGAAAACAGAGCTAGCTAGGCCAGTCAGAGTTTTGATGTTGCTTTCAACGCTGCCCCGTGGGCTTATATTATAAATTATAATATGTTCCAGATTGATCAGATTGCGAGCACACGCCTCCAAAAGCGGAGTCGTCCGCCAGCTGCATCACACCGTCGTTTGTGCAGGGTCGCTGACCATACTCGAAACACTTCTAGTATAAAACATAGTAGAACCATGTAGAACCATCAGTTGAGAGGAGAGTTGAGCAGTGTCACACCCTCATGCCTTTTTCGTTTTTCTTTCGTCCGGTCCTTTCAGATGTTGTCCGCTATTGTCCATGAACCGGGTATGTGGGCGTCACCACTCTCCGAGATCTTGCCTCAAGTGATCTGTGGGTTTCCGGTTTCCAGACTTTGGCCACTCAAGGACGGCACTCATAGCAAACGAGCATTGGCAATCGACCAAGCCTGCTACCTTCAACAGGCGATCCGTCCCAGTGATATGTGATACAGGAAGATACGGTATACAAGCATCAGGCGTTGAACTAGACCCAAGTTCACCTTGACTTGCCTTGCTTCAGTGCTTATGTTCAAGAATCTGTGTCAGTTGACGGAACTAAACTTTTCTGCACGTTACTCGTTGAATCAGATGCCCTCCGACATATGACGGGTCGTAAGCAGCCCACCACGATCCGTTTTGATTGCAGAGACCGGATTTCTTGCACCTTTCATGTATCCGGCTGTGGACCCCAACTCAGGTCACATCTGAAAGGGTTCTGGATTCGGGAAC